TTTCTATGAATAAAAATGATCTTGGAATAGTCAAAGAAAAACGTTTTGCACACAAAAAAGATTTTAAAAGACTGAATATTACAATCAAAATATAGCTATGATATTCTATAGAGCTTAAAGGGACATTAGCTGTCAAATTCATATTCACCATTTGACTCAAATTCTCATTTTTGATTTATAACACTAAAATGTATATCCAAATTACAATAAGTCTTAAATAAACAATTAACAACGCATGAACTCGATAATATATATCAGCATTTTGTGTGTATTTTAGTCTTGACGCCATCTACTTAACCATTGAGATGACCTCCGAATAAAATAGAGAATGGAAATGGGGAATGTGCCAAAGATACAACAACCCGACCAAAGAGTAAAAAACACAGTCCGAAGACTGCCGACGGTTACATAACCCGACATAAACATAAACATAACTATAAATAGGTAGCGACCTCGTGCAATTGGACTTTTCTAGTTCTGTTTGATTTCTTGTTATAGGTTAAAAAAAATAAGTTTTATCATCGATTTTAGCTGTATAGGAATGATTTTTTTGTGGATCGAACCAGTCAACGAATTGGTTCACCTTTGTTTCACTTTCAATGTTGACATTCTTTTCCTTTTCATGGCTGAACACGACTGTATAAGACATTAACCAATCTCTAGCTAATGGTTTAAATTGAAGGTCACATGAATACGGATTCAATGAGGTCGAATTATTCACTTGCAAGTGAATAATTCATCAGCGATGTTTCTAAGCTTATTCTGACAAAATTGAACTAACCTGGCTGCTAAAAGCGAATTATTATTTCACTATTTCACTTCCATTAATGATTGAAAAAAAAATCATATCTTATTTTTTTTGTATATCGCGTAACTAATGTCCCTTTAACTTGTTTACATCTCGGCGAAAACCCTATATCTGAAATCCCAGTGTTTTGTGATGAAATTATTGTTCATTTCAAGACATTACACCTCCAATATACACGTGTTTAGTCATTTTCTAACGGGCGAAAATCCTAAAGACGTGTTTTTAAAACGTAAAACAATATATCTTCAGAGTGAAAAATATCTAAACCTAATACAAACTTTGGTGAGCTGGATAAACAAAAAAGGGACAAAAGTATAACAATATGCCTTCCTTGCCATTTATCTTACATATCTGCTAATAAAAGAACGTCATAAATTAAGAACTTTCTAAATAAGGAAGATGTATACTAAATCAACTTGTTTACGTGACCTTTCTTAAATACTTCAATAAAACATAAAATATACATGCATGTGACTCAAATTTTCGATCGGATGTTGACTTACTGTAATACTCCCTTTACCAAGAAAGCAATGAGGAAATAAGTGTCGTCTCATAAACCACACGGTAAATATTTTAGAAAAAGATATTTATAAAATGCACTTTCAGTTTCCTTTAAAAGGTACCACTTAACAAAACTACAGAACATGTACAGATTTCAATAAAAAGTTAATGAGAGAATACTGGTATTGTACAATGTATAGCTGCAAATGTAAGTAAATGAAACAATTGTTGGTTAATATACTAGTATACATTGATAAATCATAATTTGATTCATACGATACTTATTTCATTGACACATCCATATACTATTATTAAGTGTTTGAATAAAAAATACTTATGTTCATTTATTATTTACTTAAAGTAGTTGTAAATAACGTGTTATGATAGTTCCAGATTGAACTATGGCCTTAAATATATAAGAATAAGAACGTGGTATGATAACCAATGAGACAACCATCGGGACAGACCATTGGTATAGGACAATTATGATGGGAGCATTTACGGATCAACGAACGGCTTTCAACAATGCGCAAAATCCATATCGTATAGTAGTTATCACTAAACGAGAAAACCAACTGCCTGATTAATGCTACAACGAACGCATAAAAAAACCAAAACCGACAACAACCAACGACAGCCACTGGATTACAGAGTTGTTTTTTGTTAATTCGAGGCGCCCAGCAAATTCCATTATCATACCATCTGACAAAATTATCTTTAAAAAAAAAGAAAACTGTATTTATTCATTTGATAATCAGACAGATTCATTCAAAAAGTTCTTTCAGGATAAATACTCAGATTCTTTCTGTCATTACATCACACCTACTTATGCTATAAATGTGGCTTTTAATATAAATCGTTGAACAGATAAATAAGGTTGCCTCAAGGTTTCTCTAGGTTTATCTAGCACGAGTGGTACTTCCATTAGCAACACAGCAGGTACCACATGTGGAGCAAGATCTGCTTACTCTTCCGGAGCACCTGAGACCTCCCCCACCCGTGTTTTGGCGGGGTTCGTGTTGCTTAGTCTTTAGTTTTATATGTTGTGTTTTGAATACTGTCGTTTGGTCGTTTTTCATTTTTTACATGGCATTGTCAGTCCGTTTTTGACTTATGAGTTTGTTTATCCCTTTTTATCTTTCGCCTCTCCTTGATTAATGACAAGCAGAACCCTGTATGTTTTATAAATATAAAGAGCTTTGACTATATACACAAATGATTGCAAGCCAGCACTTTTTTGTCTGAATAAGCAATTATTCTGAGACATTTGTTTATTCTATTTATGATCCCTCGTAACAAACCAATGCTACAGGACAAAAATAGTTTATTTCAACAAAAAGTGCTGACTACTAGGCTGGTGATACCATCGGGGGCGAAACCTTTACCAGTAGTGTCAAATACGACTAAGATCATCCAGACTGGGAGTAGAAGAAATCAAAATTTTAATTGGATCATCTACAAAAAATGACCATGTCAATGATATTTTATGTCTACACAAATTGCTTACTACTGGGCTGGTGATACCGAACATGATTGATTTATAATTAGTTGTGGCTTTGTAATAGATTTCAGTAACTGCGAGAGGTCTCATTCCGGTACTTTATGTCCTTGTATTTTTGTTACTAGTAGTTTTTTTCTGCCTCGTGTCGATCTATTTAGTCAAATCCTTTTCAACAACTGAGTTTTAATTAACAGTGTATTCTTTTATTGTGTAATACACCACTGTATCAGGATATGGGATGCTTGAGCCTTCATTTACATGTTTGAACCCACTACATTATTTACACGTCTGACTTAAGTCATGCATCTGTCATTCAGTGGTTTTCGTTGATCGTTGTCTGCAATATTAGTGTTTCGTTTATACTTTTAACTTGAATCAGGACGTTGATTTTTTCTTTCAAAGTGTTTCATTTTGTCATGCCAGGGCCTTTTAAAGCTTACTATAAAGTATATATTTTTCTCATTGTTCAAGATCGTACGGTGACCCATAGTTACATACATCCTCTTCTTTTTGTGTCTTGTGGATAGTTGTCTTATTGGCCATTAAACAGCATCTCTGTTTTTATATAGCCATATTTGAATGGTTTTAAACCTGCTATTGTAGAACTGTTTTATTACTACAAAAGGCATTTTCAAAAACTTAAAATCAAAGAATTTTACTTATCGTTTTACTGTCTTCATATTCGTTTAAAAACTGAACCAAGAGCTTTTGCATTTCCTTTTAGATTTAATTTGCTTAACATAGAAATAAAGGTTAATTCAAATGATTGATTTGAGATAAATGATGATTTTCAATTACTCTTCGTGATTAATGAAAGGCAAATTCGAAAAAAAAATTATAGAGAGTTAACTGGTAATCTCATAGTCATGGTGTTTTGTTTAAAAAACATTACACAAAGGATTCCTAATTTCCGTGGCACGTAGTGTAACGGGAATTAATTGTCTTCTCACGTAGTAGTTCGAAGGCGTACGAATTTTTTGGGCGGGAAAAATTATTGTGTTAAATGATAGGTGTATATATGGTCATTTCTAGCCCTGCCTTACTTGAGTGAACATCAAATTTTTTAACATATGTACGTTAAGAAACGTTTTAAAATATTTTTGTTTATAAGTATGTTCAAATTAGCATTAAAGGTAAAACTTTTTGTTATATATAGGTGGTATGGCTATACAAACGTAATCGGATTTGTTTATTCAGACTCTTTTCTGTCTTCAAATTATTTTCATATAGCCGCAGTCTTTTGACTGATAGCAGATTTTTTGCATTTAAATGTTTTCTTTAATGTTTTTTTTTAACATTCTTATATCAAGTGCGGTCCAACACTTGGGGTTTCGCCTGGCATTGACAAAAGGACACAGGTTTCTAAAAGTAGTTTTTCCTGGTCGGCCACGAAACAATTAGATATAAGTAGAAGATATTAGAAGTCATTATGATTGCCACAATTTTTAATGTGTATTGATGTGGCATGTTTGTACATATTTATTGAATAAAATCGGCAGCTCAGAAAATACACAAGCAGCAAGCTAGTCGACAAACATATGTTTGTGTTTTAGTTGTCTATTGGTAGAAGTGGTGCTATGTTAAGAACATAAGGTATAAAGAAGACGTATAATTCAGTTAAAAAATTGTATTAAATCTGGAAAAATATGCCAAGTGTGTCTCGTTTTTAATTAACCTGCATCTAGCTAACAATCTGTAAGAGTTAATTTTGGAAAATACATTACATGAAAGCAATTCTAATTTGAATATCAATTTGTGATTTAGGTTGAGCAAAAAGAAGATACAGAAAATGAATAACACGAAAAAAGAATCAAAACAGTTTTATCAATACCTGTGTCAAAAAATTGGATGTGAAAAGGTTGTAAAAGCTAGACGTTTAAAATACACAATATGTGATATTGGATTCAAATGCGAGTGTCCTATTATTAGCAGCGGGAGTAAAGCAGAAGGGCTTAATTTAAAAGGAAGTGACCTTGATATTATGTTTATTAATCCTGATATTATTGTATACGAAACAGAACCAGATGCGTTGAAAAGAAATAAGATAGAACTAATCATGGAGACGAGGGATACACAACCATGCTTCTCATTTTTACGACTAATATCTCCTTACAACATTTTGGATAAATCTGATAGGCAATTATTGCAGACTATTGGGCCAAATAAATTAGTTTCAAGTGAATTATACAAACTCGGTCTTCTAAAACAAGCAACAGAACAAATATCATATACTTTAATAAAATTCATGGTCCCTGTGTTGCAGATGCAAATGATGACTTTGACTTTGCGTTTTGTTTCAAATGTGATCAGTGGATATCGGCTGCTTGCCCATGGATTACTAGAGCACGTGCAAGATGGCCTTCACCTGAACTAATCTCAAAAATAGTTACATGTGGTGTGTTATTTGTCCCCATTGGTATTAAAAAATCCCAAAACGAAGGTCTTGAGTGGCGTATTTCATTTTCAATCGCAGAAAAAATGCTTATTTATTCATTTACTCACACCCAGTTGCTTTGTTACTCTTTGTTGAAAATTTTGCTCAAGGAAATAGTCGAAAAATGCAAAAATTTGAAAGAATTGCTGTGTTCTTATTTCCTGAAGACACTGATGTTCTGGATTTCAGAAGAACTGGACCCGTCTGTTTGGAGGCCAGACAATATCATACCATGTTACCATGGTTGTTTAGAAAGACTTATATACTGCATTGAGTATTCGACTCTGCTGCATTATTTCATCCCTGAAAATAATTTGTTTTATTCAAGATTCAGTATAGAAGATAAAGAACGACTGATCAAGACCCTTAGAATTTCCTTTGAACTCGGGATTCAGTGTTTCAACGCTTCAAGTACTCTAAGTGATTACACCGATTTCATCTTCAGCTCACGCAGTACAAACTCTAGAGTTATTACGGAAATTGTTGAAACATTTTCTTTTAGTGTCAATATTTCAAGATTGCTCTTCAGTTTACTACACCATTCTAGAACTGATTTATCAAGAGATATATTTACTGTCTTTCTTTCGCGTGCACACCAGTTTGCACCACAGTCACAAATTGTTTCACACTATATAAACAACAAACATCAATATATGAAATACAAACATGACATCAGTCATTTGTTGATGAGTTTGAATTCAGATGCAGTATCAGGTTGGTTGCTATTGGCGTCTTTCTTCTATCTTCGTAAAAATTATACAGCATCGTTGCGTGTAATAAACTATGCTTTGTTGAAGTGCACCGATGACAAAATTCCCTTTAAGGTTCACCCTAGTTGTGAAATTAAACTAAATCGAACACAGAAATATTCCTTAGAATCGATGCAAAAAGAAAAGCTTTTCAAGATCTTGAAAACAACAAAACGTGATGATCTACATTTTATAGAAGAATCGGAAATCATTCCAGAAGAACTGCAACTGGAAGTAGAGGAACGTTCTACAATAATACGCGCTGAACCGTTTGCACATTTTCTGAGTTTTCTGTGTTATTTTCATTCACGTGACCTTACTTCAGCCATAAATTCTATGCAACAAATAATGCATATAATGAACACAAATTTTACAAATGACGATTTCGAATCTTTCTATGTATTTTCCTACCCAATAATACTTTTAGGAATATGTTGGCAAATGACAGGAAAAACAGCAATGACGAGACGATCTTTTGAACTTATAGCTGTATGCGATGAATACAAACTGACCAGTGCTGCATTGAGACTCTCTCGTATATAAATATATTTTTTTAATGAAATTTAATATTTTTCATATGATTTAATAGTTTTGTTTTATAAAATTTAAAACTGAGAGTTTATTTTATACTTCTTTTATCTTTTAAAAGACTTGTTTTAATAGTACAATTTTTCAACAACGATTTTATGTATGCGAGGGGTCTTTTGCTTGGCCTCTCAATAGTATAAAACATTCATTATCAGAACTTCAACTTTCATTCCTCATCCTAAACTTAAAGAAGTTTACAATTATTGGTCCAATATAAAAAATAAGGAGATGTGGTATGATTACCAAATTAAATGAGAAAACTACCCACCAGAGTTCATTTAAAGTGGATATAAGCTATACGGCCTTCAACAATGAGAAAAACCCATACCCCTATAGTCGGCTATAAAAGGCCCCGACATGAAAACAATGTGAAACAATTCAAACGAGAAAGCAAACGGCATAATTTATGACAAAACGATTTACGAAAATCATATATAACAGACTTGAACCAACGACAACCACTGAACTACAGGCTCCTTTCTTGGGACAGGCACATAAAGAATGTGGCGGGGTTAAACATGTTTGTGAGCGCTCAACCTTCCCCCTAACCTTGGATAGAAGTGTAGCAGTACAACATAAGAACAAACTATAAAAAGCACAGAAAAAGGAGTACTCGCAGTTACTAAAAGTTTGTTCAAAGCCAATAACCAGAACGGCCAACACAGATACAAATATCTTTATATTAGGTACGGACAAATCATACTTTGTAAAAAAAAAATCTGATTCCAGAAAAAAGTTATACGAAACTGGCATCTTCCAAATGCTGGATTTTGTTTTATTTACAACATATTTGTTACATTTGGAGGACAAGTTTTATCAACAGACATTCGACATTCCAATGGAAACTAAATGTCCCTTTATTCTTGCCGACTCATGCCAAGAAATCCTCTCTAAAAATTCCGGTGGACCTCCTACGGCACCTATTAGTAGTTAAAGATTTGATTTCATTCAACAAATTAATTTATGACCTGCATGTATGTGTCGCTTAGAACACGGCAATATACCAAATGGTCAATATTAATCATCCATGTAATTTGCTCTATGGGATGTTTGCAAAATTTCAACGGAGGCAATTTCTTGGCATGACGAGACAGCATCTCAGCGATAAAATAATATGTTTGAAAGAACTATGCACTTGGCTACCTTTTTTTCTTCAATTCGTTTTTAAAACGTCTTGGTTTCTTCAATTTGAATAATAGAAAATAAAACTATATACCAAACGAAAACTGGATAAAGTGAGAAACAAGTTTCTTTCATTGGTGAAAATTACTGCTTCATTGCTTATCTCAGAGTTCGAACTCTACACGTGGTAGGTAGCTTGGTTCGACTCCAATCTTAATTGACTAAGATTGACAGTTTCCTTGTCGAAGGTCAGTGGTTCTCTCCGGGCGTCCCAGCTTTCTACACACAAAAAAGCTGTGCGCCAAGACATAGCAAATAATGATAAAAGTGGCGTTAAAGACCAACAATGAATACATCAATCATTGTATATCTTAGACGTTTCACACACATATCATAGTTTTGTTAAACACGAATCTATTTATTTGAAATTGAATTTGACAATAGCAATTTTCCCGCATCGTATAATGGTGAATCCGGATAACACTGTAATATGTGCCGCTGGACATGAACAAGCTTAACTTCTAATAATTTTTGAATAACTAGACGAATAGATGAGTTTTAAAGCAGAACAATTTAAATTTTTGTCAGCTATTTTAGGGGAAAGCAATAGATAATGAGAAGATATTCAAGATTTCCAAGGATAAGGCAACATTGAAGGGGCCTGTCTTTAAAGGTTGGTGTGTCCATCATATTACATATGTGGCAACCTTTTGTATAAGGCTTAAAACAAATTAAACTTTTCAAAGTTATTCAAGTTCCATTACTAACTTAATGTCGACACTTTATAATGTAGAATATCTATTTTAAACAGAAAAGGGTAATTTCTATTTCAAAAGATTGCAAAATTTCTGAGAATGAATAGAGCAGTCCCTATTCGAATGCAGCATTCGCTAACTTAGTAGACATGTCTTTGACAAGCAATACTTTGAACCATTGACAGTGTTTTTAACGATCCCATGCGCAAAAATGACAAAATTAAAAAACAGAGTTTTGTCCCTGCTAACCTAAAGAGTGTAGGTTTCAGCTCGACAGTTCCCAATGAAGACATTTTTTTTTCAGTTAAAAAATTTGAGGTACATAGTCTACAAAATGAAACAAACGTTGAAAATCTGATGCTCGTCTTGGCGTATACTCAAGAATTTACTTATTCGGAACTGCTTAGACATGAAATGATGTCACAAGACACATGCAACCAGTCACGGCTTTTATAGAACGAGTTGCTCTTCATACACCTTTGACACATAGTCCCACAATGCCCTAATGTTCTAAAGCATAATACAAAATATCTTAAAGTCCAGTATAAAAGAAATAACATAACTAATAATTTTAACCAAAAAATTTGATATGAAAAAAAACCACAGATATTAAAGTTTACATTCATTACAAATGACAGGAACTATATTTGTAGACAATCGATTACGAGCGACCAAACAGGTCATTTTTTGAAAATCAGATCATTTCGTCTTTTTCTATTTTGTTCTTTGAGTTTCATTTTTGCTTTTTTTTTACTTTATTATTCATGACATGAAACCTTAACTTCATGTTCTAAAACATGTACGTGTGCATTGTGCTTCAATGAAAAAATATGGGGTAAACGTCAATGAGACAGCCACCTAGTGACAGAAATAACCAAAAGACATGTGCTCGGTTTGACGGTAAACCAGATATATGCGAGATTCCCTCACAGGAGAAAGGAAGAAAGACCATTCACAATTTGTCTTACATTTGTTTTTCTCTCTTTTTATTAAATAAAAAAAAACCTTTCAAATGTTGAGTTCATATGATAATAATATTCCCTGTGGAACAACCCCACCCCCTTTCTTTTTTTTTTTTGTGCTCTCCAATTTCAACCCTCAAATAAGGCTTTCCAATGTAATTAAAATTAAAACCTTGCTTTCTAACCAATCTATTCATGTACCGGACCGGGAACTTTCTTTATTCAATAAGAAAATCTACAGTGCCGTTATATAAATGCGTGTTGTCTGCTTGGAGTCCCCGCACGAAAAGAAAGAAATAGCCTAACTCCAAGATACTACATTCTTGCATCACGTGATTTTTGCCACGTGGAGCTTACATTAGAATGAATACCGAATATGGAAAGTGAAACTACAATTCGAAACATAAAGTCCGAAGGCACATAGAAGAAATAGAAGGTTTTTTTTTTTTACAAAGGGTGCCGGGGTAATCTTCTCTGTGTTCATAATATACATGAAATATTTGCCACTGCCCCTTGTCTGTTCTATAAATTCTAACACTGAGTTTTCTATCTGTTACATGCCAAGAAATCCTCTCTAAAAATTCCGGTGGACCTCCTACGGCACCTATTAGTAGTTAAAGATTTGATTTCATTCAACAAATTAATTTATGACCTGCATGTATGTGTCGCTTAGAACACGGCCATATACCAAATGGTCAATATTAATCATCCATGTAATTTGCTCTATGGGATGTTTGCAAAATTTCAACGGAGGCAATTTCTTGGCATGACGAGACAGCATCTCAGCGATAAAATAATATGTTTGAAAGAACTATGCACTTGGCTACCTTTTTTTCTTCAATTCGTTTTTAAAACGTCTTGGTTTCTTCAATTTGAATAATAGAAAATAAAACTATATACCAAACGAAAACTGGATAAAGTGAGAAACAAGTTTCTTTCATTGGTGAAAATTACTGCTTCATTGCTTATCTCAGAGTTCGAACTCTACACGTGGTAGGTAGCTTGGTTCGACTCCAATCTTAATTGACTAAGATTGACAGTTTCCTTGTCGAAGGTCAGTGGTTCTCTCCGGGCGTCCCAGCTTTCTACACACAAAAAAGCTGTGCGCCAAGACATAGCAAATAATGATAAAAGTGGCGTTAAAGACCAACAATGAATACATCAATCATTGTATATCTTAGACGTTTCACACACATATCATAGTTTTGTTAAACACGAATCTATTTATTTGAAATTGAATTTGACAATAGCAATTTTCCCGCATCGTATAATGGTGAATCCGGATAACACTGTAATATGTGCCGCTGGACATGAACAAGCTTAACTTCTAATAATTTTTGAATAACTAGAAGAATAGATGAGTTTTAAAGCAGAACAATTTAAATTTTTGTCAGCTATTTTAGGGGAAAGCAATAGATAATGAGAAGATATTCAAGATTTCCAAGGATTAGGCAACATTGAAGGGGCCTGTCTTTAAAGGTTGGTGTGTCCATCATATTACATATGTGGCAACCTTTTGTATAAAGCTTAAAACAAATTAAACTTTTCAAAGTTATTCAAGTTCCATTACTAACTTAATGTCGACACTTTATAATGTAGAATATCTATTTTAAACAGAAAAGGGTAATTTCTATTTCAAAAGATTGCAAAATTTCTGAGAATGAAAAGAGCAGTCCCTATTCGAATGCAGCATTCGCTAACTTAGTAGACATGTCTTTGACAAGCAATACTTTGAACCATTGACAGTGTTTTTAACGATCCCATGCGCAAAAATGACAAAATTAAAAAACAGAGTACTGTCCCTGCTAACCTAAAGAGTGTAGGTTTCAGCTCGACAGTTCCCAATGAAGACATTTTTTTTTCAGTTAAAAAATTTGAGGTACATAGTCTACAAAATGAAACAAACGTTGAAAATCTGATGCTCGTCTTGGCGTATACTCAAGAATTTACTTATTCGGAACTGCTTAGACATGAAATGCTGTCACAAGACACATGCAACCAGTCACGGCTTTTATAGAACGAGTTGCTCTTCATACACCTTTGACACATAGTCCCACAATGCCCTAATGTTCTAAAGCATAATACAAAATATCTTAAAGTCCAGTATAAAAGAAAT